GCGTGATCTCTCTCTCTCTCTCTCTCTCTCTCTCACACACACACACACACACACACACACACACACACACACACACACACACACACACTATTATGTATGTTTATTGTTGCCTGTATTACAACTTCTTCGTCCACACTTTTCTATCTATAATGTTCGCTGCCTTTGTCCATATTGACATACTTGTGGTTCACTACTGCGAGCCATACCAGTGTCCACCGCTGCTGTTTGTTGTCGTTCTGGCCCGCAGTAGTGAACCGCTCTCTGTCGCTGCGTCTTTTCCTGTCCAACAACATAAGAGAGATGGTTAACAACAAACACTATTTACAGGTCACTTTCAGCCCCTTCAGGTCCCCACCTAAAACTCATGAAAGGACCTGAAGTGGCTGAAGCTTCTGAATGGGGTTTTCGGTACCCCCATCCAACCATTTGGATGGGGGTACCGGAAACCCCATTCAGAAGCTTCAGCCACTTTAGCGGTTTCAGGTCCCCACCTGAAATTCCTGAAATGACCTGAAGTGGCTGAAGCTTCTGAAAGGGGTTTCGGGTACCTCATCGAAATGGTTGAATAGGGGTACCTGGAACCCCTTTCAGAAGCTTCAACCACCTCAGCAGTTTCAGGTCCCCAACACCTGAAACTCCTGAAATGACCTGAAGTGGCTGAAAAAACAGACTGAAAACTTTGCGCCAATGTCTGTCTCGCATGAGATGTTTGTTGGAGTTCTGGCCTGCAGTAGTGAACCTCTCGTTAATGCTGCGTCTTTGTGTTTCCAACTACTTGCGGTTCACTACTGCGTGCCATATCAGTGTCAACCGGTGCTGTTTGTTGTCGTTCTGGCCTGCAGTAGTGAACCGCTCTCTGTCGCTGCGTCTTTCCCTGTCCAACAGCATGAGGTTCACTACTGCGGACCAATGTCTGTCTCGCATGAGATGTTTGTTGGAGTTCTGGCCCGAGGTAGTGAACCTCTCGCTGGTGCTGCGTTTTTGCATTTCCAACTACTTGTGGTTCACTACTGCGTGCCATATCAGTGTCAACCGGTGCTGTTTGTTGTCGTTCTGGCCCACAGTAGTGAACCGCTCTCTGTCGCTGCGTCTTTCCCTGTCCAACACCATGAGGTTCACTACTGCGGGCCAATGTCTGTCTCGCATGAGATGTTTGTTGGAGTTCTGGCCCGCAGTAGTGACCTCTCTCTCTCTCACGCACACACACACACACACATACACAATTATGTGTGTTTAAGTGCTGCCTCTATTATTACTTTCTGCTTAGAGTAAGTTTATGTCCATAATGTTTGCTGCTTTTTGCCTGACGACACACAAGTGGTTCACTACTGCGTGCCTATCAGTGTCCACCGGTGCTGTTTGTTGTCCTTCTGGCCCGCACTAGTGAACCTCTCTCTCTCTCTCTCTCTCTCTCTCTCTCTCTCTCTCTCTCTCTCGGGTGAGGGGGCCATGTCGCAGCTACGTGTTCTCATAAATATATGTGGTGTCTCATGCAATAGATGGAACCCGCGATTGCATCGACTGTCAACGGTGGAGAGACATGCGCCATGGAGACGGAGGACATTCTGAAGGGTTTTGCAGATGGCAGCAAGGAAGGGAATTCGGCTGAAGAGAACAACGCAGACTGTGCAGAGGTGCTTGCGACAATATGTGCACAGACTGCAGAGATGATGGGTGATGGTGATGAAACAGAGAATGATGCAGGAGGGAGCACTTGTGAGACGGAAACGGTTGGGGAAGAGAGAGAGGAGGGAGGTCTGGGAAGTAGGGAATCTTTGACAGGGTGTATTGTGAAAGATGAAAATGTGGTGAAGACATCAGTAGGAGAAGAGTACTCGTATGACATCAATTGGGTGCCGGGTCGTGTTCAACTGGGTATTGTTGCAGGAGCACCCTGCTTTGCGTTCAAAGTCGAAGGGACATGGGTTCCATTTCCTGCCCCCAAAATGAATACATGGTGAAACGTGACTTTGTCAATCGTGTTTGACAGAGTATTAAGGTTGAACGATGGGGCAACAGCAGAGGTGAAAGGGTGATATGCATTGGACATGTGGCGTGTTCTGGAGGCGCAGGGCGAGTTTAGGCTGAACGATTTTTTGTACGACAGTTTTGATTGCGGACAGACATGGGTGATTGGCGGGAATGATGCAATAGGGAGTACGGCGTGCCACGAGAGCGATGCGAGGAGGCATCCTAGGTGGGGTTGAGTGCCAAGTGTGATCCTGATTCCATGTGGCCGTCTGAGGATGATGATGCGTGATGCCATGAGAAATGTCTGGAGCACGCATTATGTGAATGACAACGTCTCCTTCAGGCACCTCGACAGGGAGGTCTCAGAAGACGAGAAGAAGGCAATGGCATGTCCTACCCATACTGCTGGCTGTTTTTTCTGGCCGCTTCGGAACCCTGTGGAGTCGGAGGTGGTTGAAGAGAAAGTTTTCACTGGTGAGGATGACAGCACATACACGCATGCAAGAGGGCAGGAAGCCACGTATGATGGACTATGCTCGCAGATATGGGACCATGTCACAATGAGGAGTGACGTTCTGTCTGCCATGGACATTGGGGCCCGTGTCATCCCTGAAGGACAGTTGCAGCAGCATATGGCCCCTAAAAAGTATTGCTATCGTGTCAATTGGGTCCCAAAATGTTTGCATCCTGCAGTGGTTGATGGCAAGGTGACGATGGCAGCAAGACTGCAATCAGGGCATTGGCTCCCATTGGGATGGATGCATGCAGGCATTGTGGAGCATTGGCAGTTCCTCGTGGTTCTGACACGTGTCTCAATTTTCAATGTGAATGTAAAGGACCACGTGCTGGTGGTTGAACACGCAAAGCGCTGCTGGGAGAAGATAAGGGAGGAGGAGCGTCAGATGGTGTGCGCGGGTTATGACTCCATGACTGACCAGGGGATGTGGTCCATGGTTGAGGGGAGTTGTACGGGCCAAGAGCACGACAACGGTCAGAACAGATACATGGCTCGCATTCGCCGCAGGCACGGTTGCACGACCGTTCTTAGTTGGGTCCCGGTCGTATGTCCTTTGACATATGAGCATGGTGGAGACGTCGCCATGAGATTCAGAGACCCGCTTGGTGTGCCTTTCCATCTGACCTACTCAGATGGACTCCTGCGAGACATTCGGTATCTGCCAGATAATGATTTGGCAGGTTCAGTGCAGCCAGGCAAGAGGACAGAGAAGCGGTCAGAAATTTTCCGTTTGTCTGCTGAGGTGGAGGACCCATGTGGTCCTGGTCGCGTCGGGGGGTGCTCTGCAGCACAGGGTGACATGGGCGACCCGTGCGATGTCGCGATGTCGCAGAGCCCGGGGAAGAAGAAGAAGTGCACGTCGGGACCGCCACGTGGGCAGACGCCCGCAAGCAGAAAGAAGGTGAACCCCAAGGAGGTGCCGGTGACCGGAGACACCGCAGGTCCACGAACTCAGGTCCCCAGACGCCGTCGACGCCCCGGGATGACAACTTTGTCGGAAATCAGAAAGTTGCAACGATCCACCGACCTTTGCTTGACTTTCAGGCCATTCTTGCGTCTCGTGCGCGAGGTTGTGGAGGAGGACATTGCTCCGGGTATGGGCGTGAGGTTTCAGATGACGGCGGTGCGTGTTTTGATGGAGGCTGCCGAGGTGTCGCCAATTTCGAGAACACCAACGAGGTGGCCATCCATTCGAAGAGTGTGATGATCCAGGTCAGGGACATGCGACTGGTGGATAGGCTGTCGAAGCCTCGCTGGGTTGAGAAATATCAAGGTATGTTGGACGAGAAGGCGAGAGCTGAGGAGAGACAACAACGGATGGAGGCCAGACATGCGGAAAGGGATGGCAACAGAGCAGGGGCGAAGAAGAGGAAAGCAGTGCCACGTAAGGGGGGTCCGCGAAAAAAAAGGCAGCTTGAGAATTCTACTGTGTGTGCTGCATAACGGTTGTCCTGTCGAATCGTGGACTACGTGGAAGTCTTCGTGGTGTTAGGTGGGTTGAATAGAGAGAGAGAGAGAGAGAGAGAGAGAGAGAGAGAGAGAGAGAGAGAGAGAGAGAGATCAGGTTCACTAGTAGGGGACATGAATGTATTGAAGGACGACTCTGTCGCTGATTTTGGCCCGCAGTAGTGAACCCCATATATATATATTTTTCTTGTTCTCCTTTCTTTCTTTCTTACTTTGTTTTTTTTTTTTTTTCATTTTCATTTTCTTCTTCTTCCTTTCATCAAGTCTTTCTTTCTTTCTTTCTTTCTTTCCGAATGATCGGTCTTTCGGTGGGCTCCAACGGCGGAACCTGTTGGCAGTTGTCTCTCCTTTCGTTGTCCCAGGCCTTTCAACCTTGTAGTTTTTTTTCGTTTCCGCCCTTCTAATGACTCGTAGGCACCCGAAGGTCTATCTAATGTGTGCCCTAGCCTTCGGTCCACTTACTGTAGGTTTCCATGTGAATGCATGTGCTTTGGATCTTTACCAAAATGCGCTCGTAGATGTTTGCCGTTTGGACGGTTGTGTAGGTCTGTAGGTGCGTGGTGAGTTGTACGTCTACGGAAGTTGGGTACAAGTAGGCCACTCGTTCAATTAGGGGTTATTGTCGTTGCTTTTCTTACCACGGGCTTGGTGGAGGTCCCATTGTCTGTCTGTTCTGTTGTTGTGGACATGTGCGCAAACCATCACAGTATCTGTATGTGAGTGTACACTAAGTGTGTTTGTTGTTTCCTTTCTCTGGCTCTACATTCTTTCATCCAGTGACCTGTAATTTATATGCTTGGTTTGTTGGCATCGACCCCTCTTCTCCCTCTTTCACGTGTGCACGTGCTTCTCTCGTTCCCACCCTCTGTCTGTCTGTCTATTTTGTGTTGCTGTTCTGACCAATTTCGGAGTGTTCAATCGGCAGAAAGTTCAATGACGTCCAATTGCAAAAAAAAATGTTTAAACATGAGGGGAGGGAGAGAGAAAAAGGTGATTCCGAATCCTGCTTCCTCCCCTCTTATTCAAATAAGAAAGAACAATAATA